AAACAAAAGAAAAAATAAATAAATGGGACTACATCAAACTAAAAAGTTTTTGTACAGCAAAGGAAACCATCAACAACATGTAGAGACAATGTACTGAATGGGAAAAAAATATTCACCAATGATACATCTGATAAGGGGTTAATATACAAAATTTATAAAGAACTCAAACAACTCAACACCAAAATAACAAACAATCCAATTAAAAAATGGGCAAAGGACCTGAATAGGTACTCCTCCAAAGAGGATATACATAAGGCCAATTAACATATAAAAAGATGTTCAATGTCACTAATCATCAGAGAAATGCAAATTAAAACACAATGAGATATCACCTCACACCTGTCAGAATGACTATCGTCAATAAATCACCAAACAAGTGCTGGAGAGGATGTGGAAAAAAGGGAACCCTCGTGTACTCTTGGTGGAAATGCAGATTGGTGCAGTCACTGGGAAAACAGTATGGAGATTCCTCAAAAATTTTTCAAAAAATTTAATGACCCAGCAACTCCACTTTGGGTATATATTTGAAGAAACCCAAAACACTAATTCAAAAGAATAGATGCACCCTCTGTTTACTGCAGCATTATACACAATAACCAAGATTTACAATAGCCAAGATATAGAAGCAACCCAAGTGCCCATCAATAGACAAGTGAATAAAAAAAGTGGTGGCACATCTACACAATGGAATACTACTCTGCCATAAAAAAGAGTGGAATCTTACCATTCACCACAGCATGGATGGACCTAGAGCGTATTCAGCTAAGTGAAGTCAAACAAAGAAAAATAAATGTCATATGATTTCACTTGTATGTGGAATCTAAAGAATGAAACAAACAAACAAAATAGAAACAGACTCGTGGATACAGAGAACAGACTTATTGCTGTTCAGAGGGGAGGGGATTTGAGGGATTGAGTGCAAGAGGTGAAGGGATTAAGAAGAGCAAATTGGTGGTTACAAAATAGTCACAGGGATGTAAAGTACAGCATAGGGAATATGGTCAATAATATTGTAATAACTGTGTATGGTGCCAGGTGGGTACTGGAAATATTGGGGAGATGACTTTTTAAAGTATATGACTGTCACCTGGCAGTGTGGCTCAGTGGTTGAGCATTAACCCATGTACCAAGAGACTGCCAGATTCCCAGTCAGGGCACATGCCCAGATTGTGGGCCCGATCCCCAGTGGGAGGCATGCAGGAGGCGGCCAATTGGTGTTCTCTCTCATTAATGTTCCTATCTCTCCTTCTCCCTTTCTCTCTCTCTCAAATCAATAAAGAAAAACATTTTTTTAAAGTATATGATTGTCTAACCACTGTGCTGTACACTTGGAACTAAAACAAGATAATACCGAATGTAAACTGTAATTGAAACATAAAATTATTTAAATAAATGTTTGCTGTACTGTAGGCCAAATGTAGGCTAATTAGCTATTCTTTCTCAGTGTCCTTTGCCGACAAGACTGACGCGTATGCCTTCTGATAGTTATCAAGGCAAGTTTGGGCCATTAGTTTTTTACCACGGGAGCTATAATCTGTGGTTTTCGGCTGTGCCTTGTCTATACCCTGTATTGCCTCTCGTTAGTAGAATGCATGTGCCCCGAAACATGTCTGGTGATTCTTTTCTTTTGTGTGGCTTATGTAAAATTAAATTAAAATCCTGTATCTACCTCAACAACTGCTAAAAACAAAACAGAACACAAAACAAGTAGCAGGGAGCTAGTCCATATTGTCAAAGTTTGGAGATTTAGCAGAACGTCATGTTTGAGGTGAAAGAGGTGTAAGACATTAGAGAAATGTGTCTGAACTTGTCCTTGGAGCAAAGTGGTGTGCAGTCTGCTTCTGAGTCAGAGGCTGGGGCTGGCGGGACTAAAGGAATGCTTCAGGCTCCACCCAGCCCTTTGGGATGGGGGCCCTTGCACAGCCCAAAAGCTCTCTAGTGCCCTCTTCTGGGAAAAATGAGGAGCTACACGCTTGCAAGAGAGCCGCTCCCCTGTGCTCCCACCGTTCAGAGTATTTGTTTACAAAGTGAACCTCAAAGTGTTAAGAAAGAGGTAAAGGTTAGAGTTCTAAGAGAAAAAAAATTAAATTATTTGGGAATAAATTTCTGATTGGAATACTTATTAATATTTATTTGTTCAGCTGGAAAACAAACACAACTACATTTCACAGCATCCAGTGTGTGCACCTCCATAACAATAAAAACCAGATCTCCACCACACAAAAGTAAAATTCCCAAATCCCCAGATACACTCATTTAGTGTTTTCTGACCGGTGTGAGCCTTATTTAAATGCTTATCATGTAGGGAAATATGAAAATAATATGTTAGTAGTATTAAGAACTTTCTAGAACTATGGCTATTGCGTGTTTATCTGTGCTCCTTATATCTGAACTACCCTTTGGGAATGACCACTTGATGGAAAACTCTTTCCTTCCTTTGCAGCTGTCAAAGTCTAGGATTTTCCTCTCTCCCTCCTTTAGATCTTTACTCAAATGTCACCTACCCTCCCTACTGTGTATAAAAATTGTATTCCCAGCCCACCCTCCAAAACTCCCCCATCCCTGCTTGCTCCTCCCCACATTTTTATCATTCTTCATAGCACTTCCCACCATCTAAGGTACTATGGATTTTACTTTTTCAAATTGAGGTACAATTCATATACCATACTATTCACCCACTTAAAGCATAAGAGTCAATGGTTTTTTGTATATTCAATTGTAGTACATTCTCATTGCCCAGAAAGACCTCGTGGGCCCATTAGCCACATTAGGGCCCTTCAAAACATTCCTTTGCCCCTTATCCTAGGCAACCACCAATCTACTTCCTCTCTAGATTTGCCAGTTCTGGACATTTCATATAAATGGAATCATATGTGGGCTTCTGTGAGCGATTTCATTCACTAAGCTTGTTTTCAAGTTTCTTCCATGTTGTAGCACATATCAATACTTCATTTCTTTTAATGGCCATTTTAGATTCCATTGTATGAATATACCACATTTTCTTTTTCTGTTTATCAGCTGATGGACATTTGGATTCTTCCCACTTCTTGGCTATTATTAAGAATGCCGCTATAAACATTCAGGTATGTTTTTGTTTCTCTTTTTAAACTTTTACTTAAAAACAAAAACACAAAAACACATGTTAATTGCCTGTCCCCCCCAACCAGACTGCAATCTCAGAGATTTTTGTGTATTTTGCTCTATTCCCAGCCTCTAATACCATGTCGGCACAAAGCCAGTGCTCAATACACGTCTGCAAAATGAACATGTTTTGTTCTTTGGAAACCTGAATCTTTTGCTTCATGGAATCCCTCAATTTCTCTTCATTCTGATCGTAACTTTTCACCTAAAGTCAGGTTAGTCATCACTAGGAGGAAAGAAGGTGAATCGTCCAAGCCTCTGCTTCAGTATCACTTTTGTGGGAAGAAAGGTCTTTTCTCCCCACAATGGGTGTTAAAAATATACACACACACACACACACACACACACACATAAAAGTGTATATATATATATATACACACACACATACATGGTCCTCACTAAACACAATAATCTGCTTACCCATCATGGTCCTTACTAAACACAGTAACCTGTTTACCCATCTGCACCGCTCCCTGGGATTATGAAGATGGGAATTTTGCCGTTCATTTCTATAACTCTGGCGTCTATGGACTGCCTGGCACACAGCAGGTTCCTAACTAACAGCTGTTTGCTCGTGGGGGCGGGAAGAGGAGTTGTTTTTTGAATTTTGACTAGGACAAGTGGTCTCTATTATTCTGAACCTAAGAATAAAAACCCCACCACAACTTATTAAAAAGCCAACATTTTGAAGAAATGTTAGAGTAACAGATTTTACCGTGAGTGAAATCTAGTTAGATATCATTTTAAACAAATCCAGGACTCCTGACAAGAAGGAAGAACTTCAGGGTCAAAACATGATGGATGTGGTAATCGTTCCCTGAACTGTGGTAACACAATATTAATACTAATATTTTCCTCAAAATAAGCCCCAAATGCAGCACAGTGTCCTTCCAAAGGAGCGCGGGGGAGGCAGGTGTTCCCCCAGGGCCCTTCTCGGGAGCCGCGGGCCCCAGAGCAACACAGCCCAGCTGGACGGTAAACAAAAGTTATTCCAATTGGCTCACTGTTCCTGCGAGACTAAAATAACAGAAACCAGTGGTCTGTTTTTCTCCAAAATGTATTATCTTGATCAGACTTTTATTGTGAAAGTGTTCACAGTTTGCACACATGAATTACTTCTGAGCTGGAAACGGGCGTCCAGTGTAAGTTACATAATATAATCTTTTTTTTTTTTTTTTTTTTATAACTTTGAGCAACACAACAGAGACACGAAAATAGACGAACTTCTCTTTCTTGGCAGAACGTGGCTGTCTTGTTTAAAATGTAGACAATTTTACTTGGGGAGCTGCGTGAATGGGCTGGGAAACTCCAGGTCCCTGGATGTGGTCACGCGGGTTACCCTAGAAATAACTGGAGGGCTCCGGGCACCAGGGCCTCCCGGTGCCAACGTCCGTCCACTTCCAGGCTGCGTCCGTGCAGACGGGCGTGTGCGGATTGTAGGCGGCTCCCATTTGTTAGGTCAGTGACCTGGAGGGTGACCCACAATCACCTAGACAGGGTACGAGGACCCTAAGAAATCCTACCTTTGGGTTAGAATCCTGTCATTGGGTGATTCCAAGAAGAGAGAGGTGGGGGCACCGCTCAGAATTGTGCGCCTCGACACCCCAGGCCCAAGCCCCGCCCCCGCGGTTGGCCCCGCCCACAGCCCCGCCCTCCAACACCTGCCTGGGAACGGTCTCACGGCCCGGCCCGCCGCGCCCCCCACCATCCCTATCCATCCCCACCACCCACCCCAACACCCCACCCCCAGCTCACCCGGCGGGACCCCTCGAGCCGCCGCGCTCGCGGGGGCGCCGAGGCCCAGCCCGCCCATTGGCCGGCGCGGCGCAGCGCGGGAAAGGTGGCCAACGGCTGCAGCCGGCCCTCGGGTGCAGATGGCGTCGGCGTCCAGGCCTCCGGTGCCCGAGGACTCGGAGCGAACCATGAACCCCGGCAGGCGAGGCGAGCGGGTGGTCTCCGCGCTCGGCGAGGACGCGGCGGCGGCGGGGACCCTGACGGGCCGCGCGGCCCCGGCGCGATCGGTGGTGGCCGCCTCTCGCCCCGTGAAGGGGAAAGCGGGCCGGGAGGCGGCCCGGCGGCGGCTGCAGCTGCTTCCCGTCTCTCGGGCGCAGGGCCCTGGGGAGGGGGCCGCGGAGGAGGAGGAGGAGCCCCTGCCCGCCGTGCCCGAGGAGGAGGAAGGGGAGGCGCAGCCGCTGCCCCCCGTCTGCATGGCCCCCATGAGGGGCATGTGGCGGGAGGAGAAGGTGGCGCTCTACTGCGACGAGCTGCTGCAGGGCTGCAAGGTGAGGGCGAGGAGAGACGGCGGCGCAGGGCCCTGTGGGGGTGGTCAGCGGGTGACTGCGGGTCTGACTCGGGGTGCTGGGCGTACAGAGGGCACAAAGACACCCAGCATTTCAAAACGCCAAACTTACTCAGCATTTATAAGGTTTGCACCTTGTTAGGTGTACCCAGGCCTGACCTAAAGGAGGGAGAGTTAGATTTCCGGAAAACTGCCAATTCCTCAGTTAAGGGGACAACTCTGTTAGTGGTTTTTGTTTTGTTTTTGGATTTGTTTGTCTTTTTTTTTCTAGAGCTTCTAAAAAAATGAAGATAGGCCTTATCAATGCCCAGGTATACATCTTAGTTTCTTTATTTAATAGTTTCTGCCCAAACATAAGGATAAGACTCGTGGCCTTGAGTTTTACACCACAATACTAAAGATATTTACACCCTCAGAATGGTTCCCACACATCAGTTGAGGGTGTGGAATGTTTTGCATAGAACATATACACTGTACCTGTTAATACTGAATAGAGCAAATATTGTATGTTTCTGACTTGTTTTTGTTTTTTTAAGTTATAGCAGAAGAATTTAGGTACCAGGGTATTCAGTGCTGTGATATTTATAAAAATTAAAAATTAGAAACTAATTTCCAGCTAGGGGGCAGTAAAAAATTTGAGGCTTCATATAACAGAAAACCATGCACCTGTAAAAACTATGATTGGAAAAACTACAGATATGCTTATGCAGTGATGTTAAGTAAAAAAATCAGGAGACAAAATGTATGATTCATATGTATGACGAGTATATGCACAGAAGAAAGACGGGAAGGAAATACACCAGAATGTCAACAATGGTTTTATTCTGGCTGCCAAGATTAGAGATGATTTTGTTTTCCTTGTATTTCCTGTATTTTTTCAGATTTTTTGGATATCTTAACCATATTTTATAATCCAAAAATAATATATTTTTTAAAACACCATAAAATTAGGACAGTATTATTGGCTAGGTCTCTTAAAGGCATTGGAAAACATTTATATAAATTATTGTGTCATTAAACAGGGTCTAATGACTGAGTTTCATAATACCTTCGATTATCATTCTTGAGGCAGCTGAATTAAATGTAAAAAAATCAAATGGGAAAATATTAAATGTTTAATATACTCATTTGTTATATAGAATGGAGTACTATTTTAAATTTTTAGGTACTGAATATGTTTTAAATAGCTAAGTCATTACATTGTTAAAATTCAGAAAAAATTACTTAAAATGCAATAATTACTGTGTTTATACTTTCCATTAAATATAGATTCAGTTCTATATTTTTCATTATTTAAGAGTATATTGGGTCCATTTTTAAAATTGAAATCAGTAAAAATATAGATAAATCTAGAATTTCATATAATTTTACATATATATGTATTTTTTTTCTTTTGCTAGGCAGAAGATGCTGATGAGGCTATGAGTAACTACCTGTCAGAAAAATTAAAGTTGAAAGACAAATGGCTTGGAGTCTGGAAGACTAATCCTGAGTTATTCTTTCTGAAATATGAAGAAGCTTCTATCCCTTTTGTTGGTATATTAGTTGAGGTAAATAATTTTTCCCTGATCTTTGTTCTTTTGAGTGAAATGATCAGTTCTTTCTAGACCAAAATATGACCTTATTAATTTGGGGCTTTGATACTTAAACAGAATTGGCAAACGTTAACTTACATTTTAAGTTTCTAAGCAAATTAGTGTAAAAAAGAAGGTAAGGGAGAATATTAGCACCCATTTACGATAGACAGTTATTAAATGTAATTCAGTAGTATCAGACAGTATTTATTAGCCTAGTTTTAATTGCTCAAATAATGTAAAAATAACAAAAACATATTTATTAAAAATTAGTAATTTAGGCTTTAATAAATTTGAGGCTTTCCCCATCATTTCCCTTCTTCGTTTATCTCAATTCTGATATTTAGTTAGATTAGTAAAGAAAAAATGGATCAGTATAATTTGAAATTTTTTCTTATGAAAAGCACCCTTTTAATATAAGACATCAACTTCCAAACCTTCAGCTGATAAGATTTTGCTTTTCTATGTCTCTAGGTTAAATATGGTGGCATATTTGATGTCATAAAGTTGACTCCCTTAAAGGTCAATTATCCCTGTATGGAAATTAACATGTACAATCACAAATAGTGCTCCTGCCTCAGATTTGATATGTCAAATCTGTAGTTTTGTTCACAAGAAAAACTTTTGTTTGCAACACATAGCAATACACACTACCTAAAAACAATTCAGCTCTGTGTTCTGTGGAAAAATAAGTTACTGGTATTTTTACAGATAAAGAATGGCATATTTTCAAACAGAGACTACCCTTGCCAAGTTGTATCAAGGCACACTAACCCCACCACCAGTGGTGTGAGAGAAGACCTATAGGGAAAAAAATGGAGAACTAGAAGGAACTTCCCCTACAAGCCCCCCGCCCCCTGTCAGTGTTGACTACATGGGAAGCCTGAGCTACCACTTCCACAGTGAGGAGAGACTCCTTCCACTCCCTGCAAGGTGGTGTCAGAAAAGCTCTAGTGGAGAATCAGGACTTTCATACACACACGTCCCACTGCTGTCAGTGGAGACAATGAGGGGGGCAGTAATGAGGTGCTTCTCTCCCCCAGCTAGGGCGGTATCAGTGGAGACCTAGTGGGAGGAACCTGAACTCTCACCTCTGAACAGCAGTTACACAGAACCACCCACCTCCAACCAGTGCCCATAGAGCTGAGTGGAGAATCTGGACTTCCATCTCCACCGGGCAGTACCAAGGTGGCAATTCCCTTTTTGTGTCAGATTGATGTCAGAAGAGGACTGATAAAAGATTTAAATAAGCCCAAGAATCTAATTGCATAATACTCAAAATGTCCAGGTTTCAACAGAAAATCATTTGTCATCACTTCTCAGTCGCTTCTAAGAACCAGGAAGATCTTAACTGGAATAAAACAATAAGCACCAACACTGAGATAACACAGATGAACATTTGCTGACAAGGATTTTCAAGCAGCCATCAAAAAATGCTACAGTAAGCAATGGTGAATGCATGTGAAACAGAAGAATAATCTCAGCAAAGAAACAGTCTCTGCAAATAAATGGAAGATACAAAGAAAAACCAAAGTTTTAGAACTAAAAAAATGCAATAACTGAAATAAGCCCAATGGATGTACATGCCCAATGGCAGAAAGAAATCTGAGGAAATAAAGAATTTGAAGATAGAAATGACCTAATTGAACTCCAGGGAGAAAATAGACTCAAACAAACAACAACAAGAAACAGACACATTGAGCTATAACAAAAACCTAACATTCATGTTTTCAGAGTCCCAGAAGCAGAGAAGAAAAGGTGGAGATGAAAAACTATTCAAAGATATAATGCCTATTTCCCAAATTTGGCAAAAAGTATAAACGTACGTATTTAAGAAACTGGCTTTGATAATCCCACTGAGAAGGATTGGGTAAGAACGTTTACTGGTAACTGATGTGGGAATCCTCTTCCTTCTACCCTGACTGCTTCTGGAACACAAGCAGTTAAGTCATATCCCTCCAGGCGTGAAAACTGGAAGATTTTTCTATGATCAGCTCAAAAGAAAAGACCTAAAGATAGAGATATATGGAGTTCCCATGGAAAGAGCCTGGGTAGAACATAAGAGTAGAAAAAAATATTTTCAATTGTGTGAGATCTCAAGAGTTATGTCCCCTCTCAGGAAGTTAATGGATGTTCTCTTCAGTCAAGGAAATAAATCAAGAAATATGAAGACATCAGATCCAAAATACAGAAAGGCCAACATAAGAGAAAAGGGAATTCCCAGAATGATGGTGAAGAGAGAACCGCTATGTACGTAGTGGGCCTAGAGAGCTGGTTCAGATTGGAACTAGCGAACTCTGGAAGGAGTTTGAAAGGAGATGTACACAACTCAGGGAATTTGGGGTTAAATTAATGAAAGACTCCCAGAAAACTGAGCAAATGAAAAGCAGTATAGTTATTGACTCCTGAGAAAATAAAAGTTTGTTCAGGAAAGAAAAATTAATCAGCTTACACTATATGGATCACCTATGAATGGCCTTTTCAAACACGTTAAGATAAATGCTGAATACTAAGCTATAATGGCATTGGTAGACGGTGGACCAGGAGAGTGTGGGTACATGTGATGGGGATGGGGGAGATGGAAGAGAATTAAATTCTTATCTTTCAGAGTGAGATGTCAATATATAATGCCAAAAACTGAAACAAAACAAAACTGTAAATGGCAATATAAGAATATTATTTCAAAACAAAGAGATAAATGTCAAGATAATCAGTTAAAAGAGAAGTATTTGCCTCTAACGAATAAGAATTAGAGGGTGGTGGGAGATTGTCAAGAAATTCTATTTTTCATAACAAACCTAGTATAGCCATTTGATTCTAAACTATATGCATGTATAATACTAATTTTAAAAAATTAAAACTAAAATTTTAAGATATATATTTATTTTAGGCAACTTGTATACCACGTCAAAGCTCATCATCTTGTTTCAAAGTGACTGTTTCTGTTGCTGAGCCTTTTTCTTCTAATATTGCAAATATTCCAAGGAATTTGGTTGATGAGGTTTTAGAAGAACTAGAGCATAGTGTGCCTCTCTTGGAAGTGTACCCTGTTGAAGGACAAGATTCTGACACACATGATATTGCTTTGGCCTTGGAAGTTGTGAGGTATTAGAGTTTTTTACTTCTGACAGTTAAAATGATCATATTCAAAATTTTAATTGAATATATAAGTTTTGTTCATACAAGCACTTTGTGAATATTTATTGATTTAATTTTTACTCACTGAATTCAATTTGTCCATTTTTTAATGAACATATTTGTAACTCTTAGTTAAGGCAGTCTCTTGTGAAGTATTATCTATGAGCAATAAAAGTTTGCTATTTTTCAATCTTGAATTTTACAAAAATTGAATTAAAGAATTCTGAGCAATAAGTACTATTCAATTCTGTTCATATTTAAGTATCTTAAATACATCAGATTTCATTTTTCACATTTAAGGGCATTATAAATATTAGAATGTCATTCACATTATGATTGCTTCTTATAATTTGATACAATTTGAGAGAAGCCATCCATAGACTTAATACAGAATATTCTGGGGGCACATTTTGTTTTTTGAATGCTTTCCTCCCCTCAATATACCAATTTGATGATATCTTAAGTATTATTTTTTTGGTGAACAATATAATAACCCAAATCTATGAATTATGAACCCTGAAATTTACAATTCCATTTAAGGAACATTATTTTATCTGTAGTAACCTAAAATAGAATATAGATCATCACATTTTTCAAGTTTACCTTTAATATTAGTTCATTGAAAGCTCATTTAAAATATTTTTCTGCCTGGCCAGTGTGTCTTACTTGGTTGGAGCATCCTCCTGTATAATGAGAGGTGGTTGGTTCGATTACCAGTTGAGGTGCGTGCAGGAGGCAACCAATTGATGTTTTTCTCTCACATGATGTTTCTCTCTCTCTTCCTCTGTCAAAGTCAATGAAAAGCATGTCCTCGGATGAAAGAAAAAAAATATTTTTCTTGAGCTAAAATTCATGTAAAGAATTTTGATACCAGAATTTTTAAAAATTCTAAATGTGGTGCTTGCTGTTTTTGATCACTTTCATCTTAATTTGACTTATCATAGGTTTTTTTATGACTTTCTTTGGAGAGACTGGGATGATGAAGAAAGTTGTGACAATTATACTGCTTTGATTGAAGAAAGAATTAATTTGTAAGTATACTTTAAAACTTATTCAGCACACTATATAAGCTACACATTGTAATTATATTGATACTTTTCAGGTGGTGTGATATACAAGATGGAACAATACCTGGTCCGATTGCACAACGTTTCAAAAAAACTTTGGAAAAATATAAAAGCAAGCGTGTGGAGCTCATTGAGTATCAGAACAATATTAAAGAAGACCCCTCTGCAGCAGAGGCAGTTGAATGCTGGAAAAAATATTATGAGATAGTAATGCTCTGTGGATTATTGAAAATGTGGGAAGATTTACGCCTCCGGTAAGAATTTGCTCTATTTTAAATGGAAACAAAAATATTACATTGTCATTCTTTTACCATGTCACTTAAACTATATATATTACCCTGATTGATATGATCACAAAAATAGATGTCCAATTCATGAGATAAGCACAAGGTGCAAGTACCAGTATTGGAAAATTGTGTTTATATTTGCTGAGTTGGCTGAAATTTTTTAATGAAAATATCTCAGCGCTGGTCTTTTTCTTATTTTGCATTGTCTCCTTTTTTATTATGACCAAAACATAAGAAAGGAGGTAGACTTCCTCCACATATAATATGCAAAGTAAAGAGAGAGAACTGACTAATTTGGCTGCCTCCTAATTTCTGCCTTTCTAACCAACTTAAGTTGGTAAGTTATTTATTTGTTTTTGCTGCAGAAAACTTTGTTTCCATTTGGCCCAGTGCACGGGAGAGGGCTCCAGGGTGGTTAAAGGGATGGCTAGTGGTTTCAGGGAGAGGCTCAGGCAAAAGCCAGAGGCCAGGGGAATGCAGAGGGGCCCTCAGAGGCCCGTGGGCTCCAGAGGCTCCCAGTCGTGCCTGAGGGTGAGCCTTTCGAAGATGCTCGCCCAGCCCAGCCTGGGGGCCAGGCAGCCTGCGGTGGTGAGTCGCCCATCTGGATGAGTTTCACCTCCTCAAGGAAGTCACAGAGATGAGGGTCTGCACGGGTAGAACCAGGGCATGCAGATCCAAAAGGGCTTGGTTCAGGTTCTTCTCCAATGCCAAAGCGGCTTCTTGAGTTTCGCCCCACTCATCCTGGGAAGGCTTCAGCACGTCCTGGAAGAGGACGCGGCCACCGCGCTGGTGTTGCAGCTTTAAGAGATGCTCAGCGCCCTGGTGCTTCTTCGCCAACTCGCGGAAGAAGTGCTCCCCCACCCCACCCCAGCCACATCGCCACAGAGGAAATAGAAGCCCAGAGAGAGGTGGGTGCAGATGCAGGTTGGCCAGGCGATTGACCGCAGCCGCCACCTGGGTGGAATAGTTCTGATGAATCTGGGAGCTCATGGTTGTTCGCAGTTGGGCGTTAAGGTCAGAAAACGGTGTTGGCTGGTCTCGGAGGCTGAGACGGTTCCGAAGGTGGTGCTTGGAAAAGAGGTTGGGAGGTGGTTAGAGGCTGGAAGAGGGGGCGTCCCTGGGTCTGTTCCGTCCAAACACTGTTGAAGCAAGAGACAGATCCCAGGGCACTGCCGATAAGTTATTTTTGATGATAAATAGCAATGCAGATTTAACCAGCATCATTCTCTTCTAGAATACTTCCAAATGTATTAAAATATGTTTACATTGTTATGCAATATATATATATATATATATTTGTCTTTGTTTTAAAAAGAGGGGAAACAGGGGTTCTTGCTCATGGCCCCCAAATCAATGGAAAAATCTTGATTGGAGCCAAAGAACTAATGACTGTTTCATGTTAAACACCTTCTTTTGTGTTCTAGCTTTACTCATTCTTTCTCTTAGAAATTCTGAGTTACATTTTACATTTTACATATCCGTTAACTGTGAGCCTGCATCTTTTTTTTTTTTTAATCCTCACCCGAGGATATTTTTTCATTTATCTTCGGATAGAGTGGGAGGGAGGGAGAGAGAGAGAGAGAAACATCAATGTGAGAGAGACACATTGAGTGGTTGCCTCCCACACGACCCCGACCAGGGTCGGGGACGAACCGCAACCCAGGTACATGCCCTTGACTGGAATCGAACCCGCAACACATTGGTCCGTGGGCTGACGCTCTAACCACTAAGCCAAACCTGCCAGGGCCCTACATCTTTTTAAATTTTCTTTCTGATTTGATCACTAAGAATCCCATTCCAATGCCTATTTTTTATGTTTCTTTGTTACTGGGATTCCTATGTAACAAACCCTGGGGTTACTTTGAGAAATCAATATGGATACGATTTTTGAAATTCACCTAGAAATGCAGCTCCAACAAAAGTTGAATTTGAATACAAGTTATTCTCACTAGACTTTATATTCTAATGGCATAGGACAACACAGAGTTCTCTCATCTTAAAAGTTATAATCACAGAGAATCTAGTTCTGGGAGTGGTGCAGAAAATTGATTGGTAAAACCCTTCCATAGATAACAATTATAAAATCTTTTAAAAATTTATTAAAAGTATTCAACTATTTTTAAGGCACTATGAAATGACCAAAAGCAGGCAGCAACCAGAAACGTGTAAAAAATAGGAATTTGTGGCTTTTTGGTCTGAGGGTAATCACCAATGCTCACAGCTCTGGCAGCAACAACTGCAGTCTGTTTCAAGGTGACAAAGGACAGAGATAAGGGCCAGCGGAGCATCTGGAAATTTAGGTGGGATGTTCTGAAAGTAAAAGAGGTGCAAAAGGGGGATCCACAAATTGGGCATAAACTCTGTCACTTCAAATCCTTGGATGACCACCAGGTAAACTGTGCTAGCATTGGTAGGGCAGGGAAATCTGGGAACTATGCTAAAAAGGAACCTGGAAGTCGAGAGAACTGAGCAGAGATGTCAGCTGCTGTGTACCTCAAGGGGAAGAATTTGCATGTTGGGACCAGGCAAGTTAACTGCGTCATAGAATACAAGACTAACAGGCCTCAGAAGAACATAACACAATCCAGAGTTACTAAAATATATTATCCAAAATCTCCAGTGTTCACCCAAAAATTAATAGACATGCAAAGAAACCAGAATGTTAGCTCCATACTGAGGGAAAAAGACAGTTAATAGAAACTGATTTTGAGGGGGACTAGATGTTGGATTTATCAAAAACTGCAAAGCAGCTATTATAAATATGTGTAAAGAATTAAGGGAAAACATGATTACAGAATTAAAGGAGCCCTGGCCGGTTTGGCTCAGCGGTTAGAGCGTCGGCCTGCAGTCCTGAGAGACCCGGGTTCGGTTCCCGCTAAGGGCATGTACCTTGGTTGCAGTTTGTCCCCGGCCCTGGTCGGTCGTGCGGGTGGCAGCCACTTGATGTGTCCCTTTCACATCGATGTTTCCCTCTCTCTCTCTCTCTTCCTCTCTCTCCCTCCCACTGTACCTGAACAAAAAATGTCCTCGGGTGAGGATTAAAAAAAAAATAAATAAATAAAAAAAATAAAAAAAAAAGAATTAAAGGAAAACATGATTACAGAATTAAAGGAACATATGGTGTTAATAAGTACATGGAAAATCTTGCGAGTTATCATTACCATGCTTACAACAAGAAAAAAGATTTCACATAAATCAAAGTGATCCATAGGCCTAAATGTAAAACAATACTATAAAACTTCTAGACCAAAACAGAGGCAGAAACCTAGGTGACCTTGGGTTTGGCAATGAGTTTTTAGATACAACGCTGAGTGGGATGGGAATGTTCTATATCTTGATTATTGTGATTGAGTTAAATGCATGTATACATTTGTGAAACCTCATAAAATGATTCATTTAAAATGAGTATCTGGCCCTGGCAGTTTGGCTCAGCTGTTGGAGCTTCAGCCTGAGAACCGAAGGGTCACGGCTTTGATTCCCAGTCAAGGGCACATACTTGGGTTGCAGGTTTGATCCCTGGCCCCGGTCAGGGTCATGTGGGAAGCAACTAATTGATGTCTGTCTGTCTGTCTCTCTCCCCCTATCTAAAAATCCATTCTATCTAAAAATCAATTAAAAATATCCTCAGGTGAGGATTAACAATAAAATAAATAAAATTAGTATCTGTTGTGTGAATTATACTCTAATATATACATTTGTTTTTAAAACTAGGATTGCATAATTATTGTTATTTCCTGAATATAGGATGCTATATTCTTTGAGCAAGTAGTATTTGGGTATATGGTGAAAAAAAATGTATGAGTAGTTCCTATTCTCAGTATCAAAACCACTTGCTTAAATAGGTATAAAAATGCTGATTGGGTTTGATTTTGAAATGTTAAATGAAACTTTTGCTTTGGAGGACATCACTAATATATTGGAATTCAAATTTTAATAACTTGCATGATAAATTCTTAGAGCCAGTTTCCTGAAAATTTAAGCTTCACAAAAATATTTTATAATTAAAATAAAACCTGAAAAATATTGGTACTAAAGCTGCATCCCATGTAGCATCAAACAATAATCAAAGTGCTACAGAGAACCCAAAAGTTTACACCTAAGGAGATTAATGGTAAATTTACATCTATTGGAAAAGGAATATCCCTTCAGCTAATAGTAATGATAAAAGTTACACTCATATTTATTTTCTTTCTTTTGATGACACTTATATGATTAAGAGATAGAAAGCAGGAACTGTAAAGAAAAGGAGAAAAAATGGAATTAATTAGAAGTGCTGAATAGCAAACAATATGAAAACAACTAAGAGAGAAGCTAGAATTGTTCTTCTGGGAGGCCAACAACCAACTATTTCTATGGAGACCCTATCCTTTGAAACAAAACGATCTGTTAATTGAACATAGTATCTAAAATTAGACAAGTCCTATGCCTCAATACCACAGGCATAACCCACCTCTGCTCTGTGTGAGTCTACAAATCAGTGGATTGTGAAAGTACAATCAGGAAAATTGTCTACTGTATTGAAAAGTTGAGGGGACTGAGGTATTAATTGTAGTGGGTTGCATGCAGATTGCAGGTACAAACCATTAAATTGAAAAGATCTTAGAGTTAGAGGGTTTAAATACTCAGTTATCTAAATTATTTTAATCATTGTTCTCAAGTTGCCCTTTGCTCTCAAGGAGCTTAAAATTAGTAAAACCCATTTCTCAAAGATTCTTAGTGCCAAGTTTTTATTTTCTAAGAATCTTTTCTCATTCTTAATTTAATCATAAATGTTTTCAACTCTAGAGTCCATGGACCCTTTTTCCCAAGAATTCTGAGACGTAGGAAAGGAAAAAGAGACTTTGGAAAGACTATCACACATATTGTAGCAAAAGTGATGACTACCGACATGGTAAGAAATACACTCAATTCTTACTCCTTTGAGTTGAGCAGCATGTGATCAGAAAAGCAGCACTTTGAAGGCTGGGTTCTTGTCTGACTCAGGATTGCCTTATTTTCCCGTTACATCCAGCTTAGTGATTGGCATACGGTAAGTACTAAATGAATAAATGTCAACAATTATTGGCTGAATACTAACCTTTGTTGCCAGGCACTATGCTAGTAGTTTGGAAAGGATGGGGAGCAAATATGAGAAAGACGGCACTTGAGGAAGATACAGTGTTGAACCAGACCCACAGTCTGGCTTTGTCACATAGTCTACCAATTTGCATATGGTGGAGAAATGAACAAGTAAATAGGCAATTAGCAATTCTGGCAACGCTGGCTGGAAGAAATGACTCAGCTGAAACCTGCAGGAAGACTGTAAATTTAACCAGCCCAAGAAGGGGAAATGCTTTAAGTCAAAAAGTAAATATTTCCATCTCAATCTCTCAGTAGCATTTTACAGCTCTGTCCTTGAAATACTCTCTCTCGTTGTCTTGTTACTATACTTCCCTGGTTTTCATTCTTTCTAGTTGCCCCCTCCCCCTTCTTCTGTCCTCTAGATGCTTGGTGCTTTTTTCTGCACTATATTAGCCCTAAGTGATTTATCTGATCTCTACCCATGACTTAAGTTACATATACTAATAACCAAAAATGTATAACCACAGCCCAGATTTTTGTTCTAAGCCCCAAACCTCTATGTCCAACTGCCTAGTGCTCGTCACCCCTCGACTGTCTCACAAGAACTTCAACTCAAATGCCCCCAATTAAATGCATGACCTCTTCATTGACTAGTTTATATTTAGAGTTCCCTGTTCCAGTAAATGGTTCCACCACCTACCCAGCTGCTAATTACAATTTTCTGTGTGTTACTCTCATCCCTCATCACCTCACTATCCACTTGGGTGGGTACCACAGAGCTGCCGCACCTCCTTCAGGCCTCACTGCCAATATCCTTTCCCGCCGCCTCAGCCTTGCAGGGCACGCGGACTGCTGTGCATCTTACCAGCACCTGCCCTTTCCCTTGGGGCACTTACCTTATCACGACTGTACTTTAGTTTTTGTTGGTATCTGCTGAATGTCTGTCTCTTACTGGAATATGAGCTTGAGAGCAAAGGGTATATGGTTACATCCATCACCTCGCATGGTGCTTGGCACTGGTAGGTGCCTGACTGTTCTGGTTGAATTAGTACATGGTGCATGTTGGACAGGGAGCATGGTGTGTATGAGAAACTGAGAGGAGTCCAGCAAGGAGTGGGGAACAGGTAAAGCTGGCTTACTAGACTGGTTTTGTCTGCTATTCTGCCCATTCGATTATTTTCAACAAAATTTAGTTTTTCCTTTTAATTGATTATTGGATCAGATTATTCGGTAATATTAATTATTCTACCAATTGCCTTTGTGACAGCTTTATAAAAAGGTATAGATTTTCTGTTTATCTCCAGCCTTATTTTATCATTTTAGTTTTTACTTATTCTTTTCATTTTAAATCTGTTTCTGACTTTATTTTCCTATGTGATGATGAGAGGTTTCCTTGACTTTTCTCCAGTGCTCTGCAACCCAGTCTTCTTAGTGTAAGTAAATATCCTCAACTTGGGAGGCCAGGCTGACGGGAGAGGAAGGTTGCCCTGAAAAGGCAGCATCAACTTCCACTTCCTTAGATCTTTGATTTTATATTTACCTTTGAGGTTCACAAAATATCTGATAGTAGAAGATTCTTCACTCCGCGCCCTTCCTGCTCTGTGCTCTCTCCTTAGTTGTCCCCATGCCCATCGTCCTCATGCTGCTGATCCACACGCGGTGTAGGGAAAAGACATGGCTTTGTAGTCAGTCGGCCCCAGTTTATACAACCTCCCTGAGACCACTTAACTGTGCAACCTCGGGCAGCTGCCTACCCTCTGAACCTCAATGGCCTTACTTGCAGAGTGCTTTAAAAAGGTAGATACAAACTGTGCACTGTGCTGATTAAGGACGTGGGCTCGAGCCTGGCTGGTTTTCTCAGTGGTTAGAGCATCTGCCCACGAACCAACGAGTCTCGGGTTTGATTCTGGCCAAGGGCATGTACCTCAGTTGCAGTTCATCCCTGGCCCTGGTCAGGGTTGTGTGGGAGGCGACCACAGTCGATGTGTCCCTCTCATGTCAGTGTTTCTCTCTATCCCATTCTATCTGAAGATAAATAGAAAAATATCCTTGGGTGAGGGTTAAAAAAAAAAAAAAAAAGAACATGGGCTCGAGCTAAACTGCCTGGATTCAGAGTCTGGCTTTGCCACTTACTAGTTGTGTGATTTTCAACAAGTTATTTACCCATCGATGCTTTAGTTCATCACTTGTGAAATGAGGCTAATACTGTTCCTTATTTATAGAGTTGGGAATATTAAATGAGTTTATATTTGTAATATACTTAGAATAATGCCCAGCACATATCAGTACCACTGCCTCATGGGTGTTTTTGAGGATGAAACGAGATGTATAAAACACGTAGCAGCGCCTGGCACACAGTGGGTTTTCAGTCCACCGGTTGCCTCTTCTCTTTCCCTTCTGGCTTTTATTCTCTGCTGGCCAACATCACTACCTGTCCTTCCGAGCATCCTTTCCTGATGTCTCACAGACATACAGCAGTTCTAAATGTGAGCTTATCTTTTTGGACACAGCCCTTCCTCGTCCTCCTGCATTCTCTAATGTCATAATACCCTCCAGTCAACCAAAGTGAGATCAGTCCTCACTCCTCTCTCGTATCGCAAACTGTGGCGACTGTCTTTGGGTTAGACCCTCTAGCTTTGGGATCATTCCTGGCCAAGATAAGAAGTGCTTGTTCCAGTGCTTCAACTGAAGTTCAACATCAGTCACTGCAGATTCAGGAGACAGGATGGTGTGGTAGTGAAGGACACAGGCTTCGAAATGATGAAAACCTGGGTTTGATCCACAGTTTCGCTTCTTAATATGTGTATGAGATGAAATAAGTTATATAGTTCTCTTATTTCCTCATCTGTAAAAGGAAGCAATGAATTCTGTCCTAGAGTTGTTAGTCTTAAGTGATTTTTACATAAATCTTTTAGCAAAGTACCTACCACAAAAAATGCCAGCTGATATTATCATCATTACTGTTTTGCCATTCATATCCCAGTAATGTATCATCATTGCTCATATTTTCCCTGTGATGCTACAAAAGGTGATAACTGTCTGAAAATATACCAGATATAAAGATGAATTTAATTTCCTTCCATCAGCACTACTGGTTCTTGTTGCTATCTGACTCCTCAGAGACAATGTATTCTTTCTTATGTCTTTTTCCCTTTTTTTTGAGGTAAAATTCGCATAACAAAATTACCGTTTTAAAGTGAGCAGTTCAATGACATTTGGTACATTCACAATGTTGTGCAACCACTAATCTCTCTTCTCCCAAAACATTTTCATCATCTCAAAATGAAATCCCATATCCATTAAACTGGTATCCCATTCCCCTGCCCTCCAGCCCTTGACAATGACTAGCCTCCTTTTCTGCCTCTGTAAATTTACCTGTTCTGGGTATTTCATATAAATGAAATCATACACTGTGACCTTGTGTGTCTGGCTTCTTTCACTTAGCAGTAACATTTTCGAGGTTCATGTAAATGGAGCTTTCTTTTATGTGCTTTCTTTTTATGGCTGAATAATGTTCTTTTGTATGTATATACCACGCTTGGTTTATCCACTCGTCAGCTGATAGACATTTCAGTTGTTTCCACCTTTTGCTGCTGTGAATGGTGATGCTATGAACATTCATACACAGATGTTTGACTATCTCTTCTCAATTCTTTGGGGAATTTACCTAACAGTGGAGTTATTGGATAATATGGTAATTCTATATTTACCTGCTTTAAAGATACTAAACTGTTTTCCACAGTAGCTGAACCATTCCCACCAGCAATGTATGAGGGTTCTGATTTCTCCATATCCTTACAGCATGTTACTACCCCCTCCCCCCAGTCATGTTAAAGTGTATGAAGTTGTATCTCACTGTAGTTTTGATTTTCATGTCCTTAATGGGTTGTGATGTTGAGCATCTTCTTTGGAGAAATGTCTATTTAAGTCCTATGCCTATTTAACTGGGTTGTCTTTTTGTTGGTGATTATGAATTCTTTATATATTGTGGATACTAGATTAGATGTATGCTTTACAGATATTTTCTCCCATTCCATAGTTGTCTTTTCACTTGCTTGATAATGTCCTTTGATGCACAAAAGTTTTAAAGTTTGATGAAGTTCAGTTTATCTATTTTTTCTTTTGTTACTCATGCTTTTAGAGTCATACCTAAGAACCCATTTTCAAATCCAAGATCATAAAAACTTTATATTTTCTTCTAAGATTTTTATGGTTTTAGATCTTATAATTCAGTTCATTGATCCACTTTGAGTTAATTTTTTATATGTTATGAGGTAGGGGTCCAATTTCATTCTTCTGCATATCCAGTTATCCCAGTACTGTCGCTGAAGAGTCTGTTCTTTCCCCCACTGAATGGTCTTGGCACCTTTGTTGAAATTAGTTGGCCATGGTGGTATGGGTTTATTTCTAGGCTTTCAATTATATTCCATTGGTCAATATGTTTATCCTGTGACAGTGTCATAGTTTGATTTCTGTCGCTTTGTAGAAATTTTTGAAATAAAAAATGTGAGTCCTCTAACTTTTCTTCCCCCCAATACTGTTTTGTATATTAAAGGTCTCTTGCAAAGGTCATATGAATTAGAGAATGAGGTTTTCCATTTCTGTAAAAAAAAAAAAGCTATTGGGATATCATAAGGGATACACTGAATCTGTAGATCAGTTTGGGTAGTATCGTCATCCTAGTAATATTAAAACTCTTCCAATTCATGAATATGAGATTTTCCTATTATTAGGTATTTTTTAATCTCTTTCAGCAACGTTTTATAGTTTTTGACATACAAAAGGCTTTCATCTTTTATTTAATATAATTTTATATTAAAATTATCCCTAGACCTTTATTATGTTGGATGCTGTAGTGAATGGAATTTTTTTCTTAATTTCCATTTCAGATTGTTTATTGCTGGTATATAGAGACAAAACTGTTGATCCTGTACCTTGCAACTTCACTGAATTTATTAGCTATTATACTTTTCTGGTGAATTCTTTGGGATTTTCTATGTATAGGATATAGAGGATCATGCTGTCTACAAATAGAGATAGTTTTACTTCTTCCTTTCCAGTCTTTTATTTCTTTTTATCTCATTGTGTTGGCTAGAATTTCTGGCTAATATAATATTGAATAGCAATGGTAAAAGTAGGAGTCTTTGTCTTGTTCCTGATTTTCGGGGGTGTTATGGGCTGAACTGTCTCCCGAAAATTCCTATGTAGAAGTACCTCAGAATGTAATCATACGTATTGGGAGATAAGGTATTTAAAGAAGTGATTAAATTAAAATGAGGCCATTGTGGTGAGCCCTAACCCACTTTTATAATAAGAAGATATATGAATGATACTGCCATTTCTGTTGAGTAAAATAATAGGTGTTTCTCAGAGTACATGTTTAGTTTCCAAATGTTATTTTTATAGTTCCCCACTCTTCATGGCACTAATAATGCCTCTATGTAGTCTTTTCTACCCCAAGTGAAAAATCTTAGTATTTTATTTTTTAGTTCTACCATCTTTAAGATTTTTTGGATTTACCAAAATTGTAGGGTCAGTTTGAGTTACATAAGTATGTTGGAAAAAGATCTGGTGCTGCCCTGGCCGGTTTGGCTCAGCGGTTAGAGCGTTGGCCTTCGGTCCAGAGAGACCTGGGTTCGGTTCCCGCCAAAGGCATGCACCTTGGTTGCAGTTTGTCCCCGGCCCTGGTTGGGTCATGCAAGTGGCAGCCACTCGATGTGTCCCTTTCACATCGATGTTTCTCTCTCTCTTCCTCTCTCTCCCTCCGGCTCTGTCTGAACAAAAAAATGTCCTCAGGTGAGGATAAAAAAAAAGAGAGAGCGAGAGATCTGGTGTCCTAAACACTTGGACCTAAAGTTTTGTTTTATTGCTCACTAACTCTGTGTCTGTAGGCAAACCACTTAATTTCACTACGTATCTATGTCCTTAACCTTTTTTTAAAATATGTTTTTATTGTTTTTTTGAGAGAGAGAGAGAAACATCGATGTGAGGGCGAAACATCGATTGGCTGCCTCCTGCACGCCCCCTACTGGGGGTCAGCCCGCAACCCGACTGGGAATCGAACTGGGACCTCTCAGTCCATGGGACAACCTCTGTCCACTGAGCCACACCGGCCGGGCTATTTCCTTAACCTTTTAGAGGAATAATAATACTTCCCCTCAAAGAACTGCTGTGAAGCTTAGAAGGTAACAGGTAAAGTTCCAAATGTGATTCTGGCACACAGCATCTAACAGCTGTACAATTACTAGGGATCATAAAGAAAATCTCTCTTCATCTCTCCCTTAAATCATGGACTGATACTTGGAGCATTTAAGAAATATAAATACATATAATAATTCAGTGTTTTACTGATACAAGGTAAGTCTTGAGAAAATCACGTTGCCAATTAAGTGAACTGATTGAAATGACCTCTCAGTTCAACCTGTTTTTGAAGGTGCTGCCTTATTTCATCTTTTCAGGTAAAGGACTTTTCTTCAGACACATTTCTCCAACAGCATGACGACTTGGATTTGGCTTTGGACAGTTGCTACAGTGGAGATACCGTAGTTATTTTTCCAGGAGAATATCAAGCTGTAAATCTTGCTTTATTGACTGATGACATCATTATAAAGGGTTAGCAGGGTGTCCTTTGCAATCTTTTTATAGCAATGTGTACTGGACAAATTGTATATTAACGTTAATCAAAATTAGAAATTAGAACAGAGTTGCTCACAAAAATCCCTTATGTGCCTTTTACAATTGGATTTTTCTCACCTGTTCATGTGTGTATTGTCTGTACAGGTGACCTCATTTGGACATACTGTACCAGAGCGAATCAGTCAATGGGACTGCTGCTTCCCCATGATAATGAAAATCTGTTGATAATATTTTCTCTTAGCACCATCTATACTTTTACTAAACAACTTTCTTCTCATTTGTCTCCAATGCACTTCATATCATTTTAGTGGGAAAACCCAAATGTAAGGCTATATTAAAATATGCTCAGCATTTTCTCAAAAAAGTTAATTCACAGGCAAACTTACTAAAATACAAGTAGAAAAGCAGAGCTTACTAACTTTTTCTTAAGGTTCTGAAAATACTTAGTAACTTTAATTCTGCCCTTTTACACTGAAGCATGGGTGTTCCCACTGTCCGGCCAAAAGAACAGGTGACTTAAATGTTGCCTATCTATGCAAAAACTGAGCAGAATTCTCACTGGATTCTGATGATTGTAGTCAGTAGGATCGTAAGGGTCATATTTGTAATTTAAAATATTTGTAGCCTTTTTGAAGATTCAGCCCCTTATTTATGAATTGAGGTTAAATTTAGATGATTGCTTTGACTATTCTAGAACAAAATTATATGTATGATAGCATTAATCTTGTAACCTAATTCAAGTCTCTGCCAGTCCTTTTTAGTATGGTAATTTATTATGGTTTTAAAAGTAGGTTATGGGAAGATACTTTTTGTGTCTTAGATGTTTTGTAGATGACTGCTGATTATAATTTAGGGAAATATATAGTGGAATGAGTATGTTAAATGATTATCATAGGTAGATTTAGATGATCATAAACCCAGAATCTAGCATCAAAATAAGGACAAAAGATTATATTAGATGACCCGTCCCGCAGGTCGAGCAACGAGGACTCTAGAGGGGGAGTGAGGATGAGGAGGGACAAGAGACATGAGAAATGGAGACAAGACAGGATTCTGATCAAGTCTCGTTTATTCAGGGGGAGTTCACACACTATATAGGGGGAAAACAGGTGAAACAGTTAATGAGTATCCCACCTGAAGCCAATTCCAGCAAATACCCCAGGTGGAACAAATGATAAGCAAGAATGGAGTAAACAATTATCTAGAGGAATGCAGACACTGTGTGCAGAGAGACCCCGCCCTGGGGCCGGAGACAGCAGAGCAGACTCTAACAAGATGGATGCCATGCAAATGGTCTCCCACAATTAGAGGTATCTAATTAGTTAATAATTGAATAATTACATATTTACTTATTAAAAATATGTGAAAAGAAAAACTTAGTAATAGCAAGTATTATTGAATGACCAAAGAAAGGGCTTTTCACTTTGGGACTACTGATTTAATTATGTCTTTGTCCTCTGATTCAGGTGTTGGAAAGAGAGAGAAAATTATGATTACTTCTGAACCTTCTCGTGACAGTTTTGTGGTATCCAAAGCTGATAATGTGAAACTAATGCATCTATCTTTGATACAACAAGGGACAGTGGACGGCATTGTGGTGGTGGAGTCTGGTCACATGACTCTAGAAAACTGTGTATTAAAATGTGAAGGAACAGGAGTGTGTGTTCTCACAGGGGCTTCCTTGACCATTACAGACAGTGAAATAACGGGGGCCCAGGTATTTCATCTCAAACACTGTGGTTTCTAGGACTGTAACTGTAACTGCGAGTGCTCTTCATGTGCGAACAAAGGGTAACGGTCACTTCATCTTTGAATTGAATTATAATTAAGCTTAGAAACTGATGAAAATACACAAAATGAGGACGAGTGAAAGAGTGTCACAGTACATTAGGAAGGGTGAACTGCCTCAGTCCAAAGAGAGGAATTACTCGCTTTCAGTGTTTGTTTGTTTTAAATGGTAGGAATCAGTGGCTATAAAATAGGTCATGAATCAGTTACCTGCTGGTTTATTTAAAAAGAAATAGTTCTTATAAGCTGCAGACACTTCTGTAAAGTATTGTGATTAGTTCTAACAGCTTGAGTTTTCAGGTAACAATCAGAGATCGTTAAGGACTGAAAAATTGATTGAGAAGCAAGATTAAAGGAAGCAGAAACTAAGAGGACCTTTGCACTAAAACGAGTAAACAGACTTGAGCAGCACTTTGAGAGATTTACAGTATATATAAGTAAATTTTTGTAACTGAAAAGAATTGCTTAAAGAAATTTTTGTCTCCCTTCTAAAGACTTCATCTGGGAGAGCAACGTAATGGATTATATGATTTCAACCTTTCTAGGCCTGTGATTCTCTTAACATTTAATAGTTTCCTACATTTTAAAAACATCTATACAGTAAATTTTTGCTTGCACTATTGTGTATTTTCACGTAACTTGAGTGTGTTTGGATTGCGAATATGGAGTTACAGTTCTGAGTCTAGAGGACGTGTTAGAGAGGCACGTGTGTTTCACAGACCTGTATTGGCTCTGAATGTACAGGGCGCTGGTGTGGAGCTGTACCCCGGCAGCACAGCCGTTTTGGAGAGGAATGAAATTCATCACTGCAGTAACCTCAGGACCAGTGACAGTTCGAAAAGCATCTTAGGTGGAGTTAATATGAAGGTATTCTTGTACTTCTTAATATGGAATTGTTATAGGAATTATACATAATTAGAAAGATACTAAAATATTAGTTTTAGGCTTAAAATTTAGTCTAAATGTTATCATTGATTTGGAAAAGAATAGTACAAATAACTGAGATGGTTTAAATGATGGCCGATAGGAAACAATTTTAGTCTTATAATTTAACAATTTCAACTTGAAATTTTAGCACATAACTTTGAATATAAGAAAGTGGGTAAGTTTGCTCTTATAAAAACGTTTTAGGCCCTGGCCAGTTTGGCTCAGCGATTAGAGCGTCGGCCTGCGGTCCGGAGAGACCCGGGTTCGGTTCCCGCTAGGGGCACGAACCTTGGTTGCAGTTTGTCCCCGGCCCTGGTTGGGTCGTGTGGGTGGCAGCCACTCGATGTGTCGCTTTCACGTCGATGTTTCTCTCTCTCTCTCTCCCTCTCACTCTATCTGAACAAAATATCGAAAAATGTCCTCGGGTGAGGATTAAAAAATAAATAAATAAATAAAAATAAAAATGTTTTAGATTTTTCATTGAGCAGATGCGTAAAGCAAGAGAGGAATAAATATATAAAGAAATATTTCGCCTTTCAAACTTTGTGTAATGTTTTTCCATAGAAATCTAGTTTACATATCAGTAGTTGCAATTTTTTTCATATTTATCATTTTCATGATCTGAAATCATTTAATATTTATCGAGTTATAGTAAAAGAAAGCTTCTTGGAATACTAGTGTAACCCCATCTAGAATCATTTATCAATAACTGGCAAAACATAAATTGAAAACCTCATTCAATATTTTTTCCTTAGACATTTTTGTAGTTAATATTACATTAACCCAGTGAGAGGAAACAAACTCTTTTTCAAAACTGAGATTCTGTTGTCTGAGTTCTAGAGTTTATGACATGTTCATTAAGTTCAAAATGTATTTTTATAGAAATTACTGAAAAATGCACCTTTGAATATTTTCACAGGTTCTTCCTGCACCCAAATTGAAGATGACAAGTAATCATATTTACAGCAACAGTGGTTATGGAGTAAGCATTCTTCAACCAACAGAACAGTTTTTTATTGTAACAGACGCCTTCAACAAAGGGGCTGCTTCAGGAGACAAAAAAGATGAAAACAGGCTCTCCAAAGTAATGCAAAATATGAATCTGGAAATGAATGATAATACAATAGAAGCAAACTTAAAGGGGGATATCAGAATAGTCACAAGTTAAAGCATTGGGTTTATTGTTCAAGTTTTATATTTCAGAGAGTTGTTTAATAAATCTCATCTCCCACAGAAATGGTAGTTCTAATTAAATTCAAAACCTAAATTTAATTAAAAACATTTAACATTTTAATACTCTTTCATTGAATGATTCATTTTAGGGTATTTTTAAACAACAGTTTTGAAATATAACTCACAAATCATAAAATTCATCTTTTAAGGATACAATTTATAGTGATAGTGATGGTGGTGGTACCATATACTAAAAATAAACTAATTCCAACAACAAACATGGTTTTAAACATTGTTTTTAATACTCTTGTCCAATAAGGAGCATTAGGGGGTTCTCTGTAGAGAATAGAAAAAATTAAGTTTAGCCCTGGCCGGTCTGGCTCAGCAGTTAGAGCGTCCGCCTGCGGTCCAGAGAGGCCCGGGTTCGGTTCCCGCTAAGGGCATGTACCTCGGTTGCAGTTTGTTCCCGGCCCTGGTTGGTCGTGCGGGTGGCAGCCACTCGATGTGTCCCTTTCACGTCAATGTTTCCCTCTCTTTCTCTCTTCCTCTCTCTCCCTCCCACTCTGTCTGTACAAAAAGTGGAAAAATGTCCTCGGATGAGGATTAAAAAAAAAAAGAAAGAAAAAAGAAAAAATTAAGTTTACAGCTAATTCCTGATTCATTCCCATTTATATGTGCTAGTAACTGGATTAAGGTAAGATAGCCCTATATATAACACAGGAGCAGGTTCAACTGCAGGAAACATTCAAAATCAGAGAGGTAACAATATAGAGCTGTACGTCTCCTTCATGTTCAAGAAGTCCAGAGGCATCAGTCTAGGCTAGTAGATGCCGCCTGTGGCTCCTTAGTGTAGGGCTAGTAGGCGTAGGTGTTCCATGCTAGAAACTCGAGTTTCTTCTATCTTGTTTTACCATCAGATGGTTTCCAAAGTCACATGGTCAACATAGCAATGGTTGCTCAAGCCATTATGTCTAAATTCCAGCTAAGAAGAAAGGATAGGGCCTTTCTATAAAGCTGCACACGTTTTTAGCTTCCATCCCTCTCTCCAGTTAGAGTCTAATCATCTGGCTACACCTAACTGCAAATGAAGATAGGAAATAGAATCTTTAAGTCGGATGGCCATGTGTCTTCTAAAAGGGGGGCTTCATTTATAAGAAATTGGCTTTTCCACAAAGCAAAACTTATATTGACTTTAGGATAAAACGGGAAATAAGCATTTAGGTTCAAATACTTAAATGTTTCCTTCCTCAATTTGCTTTTCACTTTGTGTTATCTGTAACCTAGCAAGTGACCCTGTGTTGCCATAGAGAATCTCTTGAGGCTGAGTTGAGTAAGGAATAGCAGTTCAGTGTTTCATTGAAGTCTTTTTCTTAAACATAGGTCTTGTTAGCTGGGTGACGTGAGATAATTCCAGGGATTGTCCAGGGGTCCTTAACAAGAACAATCTTTCAGTGAACTGAATCAGCAGGGGGGCTTCAATGGGGCTTCTTCCTCCACGTCCGTTTGTGGCTTCAGAACGGTGACAGACAAAGGAAGGATCTTCCGAGAGTGAGCAGACAGCAGTGGCCTTGTGGGGCAAACGTGCCACTCACTGGCATCTGCCTCCTTTCTGTGGCTACCACTGGTTTCTAACCATCTCTCGCCCCAGGCCCACTTTAGAAGTGTTCTCCTATTCTCATACTCCTAAAGCACGCACAAAGCAGATTTTCTAAGAAATTGGATCTTTCATAAACTGTTTTATCTCCCTCCTTAACCTTCCCACCCCTCCTTTCCCCCTTCACAGTAACAAATTACCTCGAATTTAGAGGCTCGGGCAACACTAATTACCTTACAGTTCTGAAGGTTTAAGTCTGACATGGGTCCCACTGGGCTCAAACCAAGGCGTTAACAAGACTGTTCCTTTCAGGGTGTTCTAGGGGAGGGTGTTCTCTTGCTCATTTGGGTGCTGACAACTCAGTTCCTTGCAATTTTAGGCCAGACGTTTTCTTGACGGTTGTCAGCCAAGGGCTATTCCCAGCCTCTAGTGGTAACTGCATTCCTTGGGCCGTGGCCACCCCCTTCCATCTTCAAAGCCAGCAACAACGGATCGAGTCCCCTTCATGCTGTGCACTTCCGCTGCCTCTTCTCCCTGGCCCACTCCTGTCCGCCCTTCCACTTTTAAGGACTTACATAATTAGACTGACCCCTCCTGGATAGTCCAGGGTAATTTCCCCATCTCAAGGTCTTTAACTTGAATCACATCTGTAATGTCCCTTGTGCCACATAAGTAAGTATTCACAGGCTCTGGGGATTAGGATGTGGACATCTTGCGGGGTTAGGGTGGTAATGGTGGTGGTACTCTGCCTACCACCTACCTTAACCAGTTTTCTAGGTTAAGGGAAGAAAAATCCTAACTCTAGTCCTCAAATGGGATTTAAGATGTTTCCTCCACCATGACCAGATATCCAATACACAGCCTGTGTACTTTTGAAAGAAGTTCTGATTTAGTACCTAAAGAGATGGCTCCGTATTTCTGCTGTCCTTCCCATGTGTGCACACGTTTGGATTTCCTACTAGCCTGTACATTTCTTGGAGTACAGGCACTGGGTCTTAGTAACCCAGTGCCTATGTTGCACTGTGCATTGCAACTAGTAACTGATAGTTTTAAGAGAATGCACTAATGGGTCTCTGCCTTACGTGAAAGACTGAAGTGAGGTTTAAAATCCGGGACTTGAAGAACATTTCATTACAGTTGCTGGGGGATGAAAATGCTAGGATTCTAGAGGTGAAGATGACAGTGCTAGGATTCTAGAGGTGAAGATGACAGTTGGAGAGGAGGAAGAATCAGAACCCCTTTGCCTTTGGTAAGGGGCAGGCGGTGGGGGGGGGGGGTGGGCGCAGAGCTCTCCTCTGGTCCACGCTTTGCCAGCAGCAGCTAGGGTCAAGCCTCATTTGAAGAGCAGAATAGGAACCGTAATGCTAGAACCTCTTTTCAGTTTGTGAAGAAGCAGTCAGTAGCGAATAGCTACAAACCAAGACTGAAAGGCACTCCTCAGCAGCACAAGGTACAGAAGCTGCTATGACTGCAAGAGACACCCAAGTTGGGAGGTGCATATTATCTTATAAATGTAATGGTTATAACCAGAAAGCAATACATTTGAGTACAGGGGTCTAATTTTTCTAAAGTATTAAAGTGGAGAATGAGAAAACTATATACTTTCAGTGATTGAATCAAATCAGTTGTTATGGGTTCCCTGTCTGGACTACCTGAAATTTTAATTAAAAAGTTGTTACATGCCCTTTGTGGAGAGTCCATAGCTCCCATTTTACTCCGAGAGCCTCTCAGCCCCCAAATGCGCAAGAAAGCACGCTGCGTTGCTGAGCCCGAGCTCGGCGGGGCTGCTGGGTGGACGGCGTAGAAAAGGAGTGAGGGAAAGGTGTTCAGCCCTTGTCCTGAGGGCAACATTAGGTTTGTATGGGAATGTTGACCCCTGGCGAGTGTGGGAACGCACTGCAGACAGGACTATAGGCAGCAAAGATCAGTTTAGAGGTGGCTACACCCAAATTGATGTCACCCAGAACAGTATGTAGGCAGCTGCTTTTAGAAAGCATGACTGGAAGTTGTTTTGGGAAGTAGAAGTGACTAGATTGGGTAATATATATGGCTTTGGCAATTAAGTAGCTGAAACTCCTGTGATGAATGAAAGAAAGAGAAAGAGAGGAAGGAAGGAAGGCAGGAAGGAAGAGGGGAGGGGAGGGGACAAGAGAAGAGGGCACAGAACACAGGGCATAAAGTGCATTGGAGGGTTTCCTGCAGTTTGGAAGTACAATTGACCCTGAACAACACAGGCTGGAACTGCGAGGAGTCCACATATATGCAGTTTTCCCACAGACAGTCCTCTTTATGCCCAGGTTTTACATTCACAAGTTCAACCAACCACGGATTGAAAATAGTACTTCCAAGGGTTAGACTATGCATTGTTCCATGCCATTCTGTGTAAGGGACTCGGGCATCTTCAGACTTTGGTATCTGCAGGGGCAGGGGGAAGAGGTTGTAGAACCAACTCCTGTGGATATTGAGGGACAAAGGAAGTTTTTGGAGAGTCAAAAAAGTTGTAAGGGAATTTTCGAATGCGTGAGGAGTTGGCAGCCCTGACCCTTGTGTTGTTCAAGTGTCAACTGGACTGAGCTTTGAAAACATTTTCAGTAGGACATCTAAGCAGAAATGTAAATAACCATTAAGGTAGCTATTTATACTGTCTGTAAGTACGGTAGTCTGATGCTCAGAAAGAAAACCCGAGTTGGAGATACAGATTTGAGTCTGTAGACTGGAGCCTTTGGCTTATCAACAGTAACTGCTGAAGGCAAGCTACAGAACATGTCGACTGAGAACAGGATTATGAAAAAGACATGAAGGCAAAATAACTTGCCCACCACCACCTACGTGTCAGAAAGCAGCTTAATGAACCCAGTTCTGTCTAATCCAAAGCCTTTGTAATCTCGACTGTACTGTGCTATTTGTCAAATGCGAATATGTAAAAAAATTAGTAAACTGTAAAGTGTTACAAATGTATAAACATCTCTACTAATATAAACTAGCTTTAAAAATACCCTTTGAAATATATGCATGTTAATGTGGACAGAATTAACTGTCAAATATATAAACTTAATGCATTGGTGAAACTTACCTTCATTCTTTGCCTAAAAATAACTTTATTCAGAGTTTTGTAGGTTAATTTTTAATAAATTTTTACACTGGAAACTAACTTAGAAAAGAAAATGCTGACCTTGGCCTCAGATTTTTAAAAAAACAAAGCTTGGGAAAAAGCCAAAATGTTCAGCCCTAGGTCAAAAATCTTACTTGCATGCAGAGAGCCATATGAATTGTGTACTGGCCACTATTTATTGCAAAAATAACAATTCCATTCCAAGGCTAATTATTCTACTATAAATAATATCACTTCATATACTCTGAAACAGTAAAAACAGTTTTTCCGCTAATGTTTTAAACTAAGA